TGATTCTTGTTTCTTTTTTTTCTTTGTTTGACAAGATGCGACACCAGTCTTAATATTAATCGCCGATCGTTTGTATTTTTTATTTTTTTATTTGTTTATATCACATCTTGTTTTTTATTAGATTTGTTTTTTTAATTTTCAACAATTCTTTATCTATGACATACTTTCATATGTTTTTATGACACATTTTCCTATATCTTTTGGCATGTTTTTGGTTGCTTGATCATTTGATCGCTTTCCTATGATGCATGTTTGTTATCATATTGATTTTCTCTACTTTGGACCCTTAAATTTGATTTGGATATACAATTTATATTCGGAGATAGTTTTCTTACGTGCTCGACTCTAGTTTGTGATTTTCAGTAGTATTTTAATAGTTTGATTTATATTGTGGTTCGTTTGTCGATATAGTCAGATTTGTTCGTATCTATCTTTTGTTCAAGTTATTTAGATGTGTTTTTAATTTTTTTTCTTTGTATGGTCCTTATTTTACCTTAAGTGATTAGTTTTTTGTGTTAATGGATGATTAATGTTTAATATTGTATATATTTATTCTTATTTACTCATTATTTTTCGCGTATTACTGATTTATCTTTATCTTGGACAGGAGATTTATTGGATAATTATCCCAAAAAGTAGCAGATTTCGACGGTACAGTCAGCATCTTGAATATTTAATTGGAATTTACCTAGGATAAGGTTATCCATGAGATGAAACATAAATAATCTAGAAGTACAAGACTTAAATATTTATTTTTATATTTTGTGATAAACCTTTTAGATTTAAGATTTTTAGTTTGATTATTTTATTATTACTTTTTTATTTAAGATTTTTAGTTTGATTATTTCATTATTATTTTATCTAGGAATTAGTTGTTTTATTAGAACTCTTGGTAGGATTTTTAGTTTGATTAGGAATTAGTCATTTTATTTACTTAGAACTTTCGGGTTGTAAATACCCTTAGGTTCAACTTTGGCTATTTATTGAAGTTCTACTTTTCTTTCATTATTTTCTTTTCATAATGCTAAGCATGATCTAATTCATGTTTGTCTAAACTCAAATTAGCCGAAAGCTGAGCTACAACTCAATCTGTTTCGTGAAAATTGAAAAGTGTTCATACCTTAATGTATCTTTCTTGATTTTCTGCAAACTAGGATTGACAATCAGCATTTTCTTCAAATATCTCAACACTTTCAATTCAAATATTGCACCTTGGTTTGAATGTTTTTTGATCTGCCGTTGGGGAGAAGAATCAGCTTGTAGCAAATTCAACTTCCTAAAAACAAACTTAGCGACGGTCCGCTAAGGAAATCAAGATCAATTTCGACTCTCATTGAGACACCATAATATGAGGACGAGCTTTTCTAGCATTTAAAGTAGCGTTGGTGTTAACATCGATAGTCATTGTTAATCCAAACAAGAATTAAATTTCAAGGATTGACTTTGGAAATTAGTTCACATGAAAGAAGTGCAAGTTTCAAGGGTTGAGCCTTGTAGACTATAACCGGCAAGAATCCCGAAGTAAAATCTATTTCAGTGATCGAACAAATTGATGCGAAGCTAAGCTGAAGGCTATCTATCATCATAATTATTTTTCAATCATCTATTTTTCTTCTTTTTATTTTTTCAACTTATTTTACTAAACCTCCTTTATTTTACTTTAGCAATTTTCATGGATCAAGATCAATTCAAACCGATATTGGAAATTTCTAAGCCCCTTCGGATCGACCCTTTCTTCTATATACTATGTTTTTAGTTTATTTATTTGAGAAAAAATCTTTATTTATTTGAAAATTTCGACGCTTGTCAATGAGTATAGAGATATGTTCTAATTGTATGTTTATTATAATATTAAATATTATTTTTTTAAATAAAATAATGGTTTCTATTTGCATAAAAAGTATAAAGTAAAATTATCAAAAGCATAAATAGAGCCTTAAAGTTAAAATGACATAATTTTTAAGGATATAAATACCATAATTTTTTTGTTTTTCTCATTTCTTCCTCTCTCTCATTATTCTTTCTTTTTCTTTATTTTCATAAGCCCAAAACGCGAAAGGCTCATTTTCTAGCCTAATAACACACAAAAAAATCCCCAATTTCAAAAAGCCTGAATTAAACCCAATTAATGAACTGAAAATGTGATATATCAAATGAGTCTAAAATTGAAAGACCTAACTCAGTAAATCTCACTGATCGAATCATAAGCTTTAGCTAATCGAAAATTTGAGTTAAGTCCGTTTAAATTATTATTTTTATTAAAAATTATAATTATTTTAAGATTTTTTACTTGTTTAGGATTGGAACACTTAATTTGTATAAGTTTACACATTAATCCTTTATTATTATTTAGTTTAAATTTTAATAGGAACCTAATTAAATCATATTTTTGTATTAAAAATTATAATTATTTTAATAATTTTAACTTATTTAGGATTCGAACACTTAATTTATATAAGTTTACATATTCATCCCAACAACAACCATTAAAATCAACCGCTGGCAATCCTTTTCATCGTCAAAAAATTATGTTATTCAACGTACACTGGTTATCATATTTACAGTAATTGTTTTCAAGAACATTTTCTTTCTATAAACAGCTGATTTTTTTCAAGAAATCATCCATGGGTGTTACTCCACCTGTTAATACAAATCAAATATTTTTGAAGTTTGTTAAGGATGGATGCATGAATTTGTGTCAAGGGTACAAATATAAAAATTATATTAAAAATTTAGAGGGTGCGAAATCAAATAATTTATATAAAATATAAAGAAAATACTTAATATATAAAAGAATTTAAAATTTTTAGAGGGGTACGATAAGCACCCCTCGTCCATCCTACTTGCTATAATCATACCATTTATGACATAAACTGTTATCCTATTTTCAAATTCTGGATGTTCACAAGAGTCGTTTATTACGACTCCACGTGCAATTTTCTATCAGAGTGAAGATGTGAATGTAGATATAAATATCGATAATAATATTTTCTTTTATGAGATTAAGTAATAAAACAAAAAGACCAACACTTTTATTACTATTTACTAGTGATAAATAAAAGTTCAATATCTTCTACCTTATTTTACGTACTTTACATACAGGAGTTGAGAATACAAAAAAAAAACATTTTCTTCAAACTAAAATCAGGATAAGTTATCTCAGCTGTCCCCCCCCCCTTAATTTTGACCTTAAACTGATTTTATTCTGATTTGGGTCTATAAAAACATTTCTGATCCATAATTATTGATCTTCACAATGATTAGTTACAATAAACAATTACTAATCCACCTTAACAAAAACAATTCCATATCTTTTCCTTGTAATATGCTGATTTGGTTACATTTTGAGTTCATACTTCACCATGCCTTACTACAAAAGCCAGCTAACTGAGGTATTCTTGCGTATCTAAACATACTAATGGACAAGGTAATAATCAGAATAGGATTCATATTGATTTTGAGGTATTCTTTTTGGTATATGTTGAAGAATACAATTTTCTAGCTATGAATATGGTCACGGTTTTGATGGTTGTTGATGGGATGAATATGCAAATTTATATAAATTAAGTGTTCCAATCCTAAACAAATAAAAATTCTTAAGATATTTATAATTTTTAATAAAAAATATAATATAATTATATTCTTATTAAAATTTAAACTAAATAATAATATAAGATTAATTATGGATAGATCATAATATTTTTTTTAATTTTATTTAATAAGGATATTTTTATTAATGGTGTACATATCGATATATTACATTAGTGGTGTGTTTTGGTATGCGACGTGTGTTGTAGACTCATCCTTATTATCACAATATCATTCACACATATACTAACATATAAAAAAAGTTTAATAGCTACATATACACAATAATAATAAAAAATAAATTTTATTAGTCGAAAGAATTAAATAATTTCTAAAATGAATAACTCGACTGGAAGCGATTTAAAAAAAAGATTTAATTATTTTTTTAAAAATATTGTATGGACTCTTTTATCCTTTGAGCCAAAAAATTATACTCCTATATATATTAATAATATTATCAAAACTCAATAAAAATAAAATTTATAAAATTAATTTTATTATATTTAAGCAAATAATTCTTTAAAACATCTATAAATCCCCTGCTTAAGCGGGATAATTAACCCCAGTAAACATAATTCAAGCACGAAGTGATTCGTTCCCCTATCCAATTAACTTTGACTTGAATAGACTCCCAATAATATGCGATTGGATATTTTTTCCTCAATATTATGTATGGATAATAGCAAAGGCACGAAGTGATTCGTTCCCCAATCCAATTAACTTTGACTTGAATAAACTCCCAATAATATGCGATTGGATACTTTTTTTCCCTCAATATTATGTATGGCTAATAACAAAGGCACGAAGTGATTCGTTCCCCTATCCAATTATTGTACATATATATGACAATTACAAAGAAGAACCAAAACGTCTGTTTTCAAACAAATATGAACCACACAACGGAAAGAGAAACCTATTTTTCAAAGTTTTAATATATCATTTAGTACTTGAGTTTATCACTTTTATAAATATAGTACCTATATTTTTCTTTGAATAATTTTAGAATCTATATTATCAAACATTACATATTTGACATTTGTATTTGTGAAACATCATACAAAATAATGTATATCAAATAAATTAAGAATAAAGAAATTTACAATTAAGTTATTTTAAATTTTAACAACTAGTAATATGTAATCCGCATTGTACTTTTAAACATTAGACATTGATTTAATAAGTATATGCACCAAAGGTGTAATAATTAACAAATATAAGTACCAAATTAGTTAAAAAGAAAACGCATGCACGACAGTTGTAAAAGTAACAAATTCATGTACCAAATATATAACGTTTGATAAATATACATATCAAATTGTTAAAAAAAAACACATGTACCACATTTATAAAAGTGATTAATTGTGATACCATATGGTATATTAAGCCTTTTCCTATTAAATAAACAAAATTCATACAGACACGCTATCCGTGCTTAATAAACCAAACAACAATGAAAGTGAAACGCTTGAACACAAAAAGCTCAACACAAATTTCATATTTGGAAGGGAAGCTATGATGAAATCAGAGTCTTCGGTAGGCAAGAGGTAAACTGTTTTAATTCCCTCAACCACTTTTTGTGTGTGCATAAACCACTCTTTCTTTGGCGCAGACTAGAAGGTAAGGTAGCGTTGATAACCGGTGGCGCTAGTGGCATCGGAGAGAGCACGACAAGGGTGTTCATCAAACATGGAGCCAAGGTTTTAGTTGCCGATATCCAAGACGAATTAGGCCAATCCCTCTGCAAACACCTTGGAACCCCGGAAACCATCAGCTACATCCACTGTGATGTAACATCTGAATCCGATGTTCAAAATGCCGTGGACCTCGCGGTCTCTAAGTACGGAAAGCTAGATATCATGTTCAACAACGCCGGCATTTCCGGTGACCCGGAACCGAGTGCCGTAGCTTCGAACATCCACAACTTCAAGAGGGTGTTCGATGTGAACGTGTTGGGTGGATTCTTGGGGGCTAAGCATGCTGCTAGAGTCATGGTACCAGCCAAGAAAGGGTGCATTCTCTTCACCGCCAGTATAGTTTCAAAGATATACATGGGACTTTCTCATGCATACACCACATCAAAGCATGCTGTTGTGGGGTTGACCGAAAGCTTAGCCGTGGAGTTAGGTGAGTATGGGATTAGAGTTAATTGCATTTCTCCTTATGCAATTGTTACTCCGTCGTTCCAAAAGGCCTCTGGGATTTCGAATTTGGAGAAGGTGGAGGAGATGTTGTCTGCCGCAGGAGTACTGAGAGGAGCCATATTGGAACCGAGTGATGTTGCACAGGCCGCGCTGTTTCTGGCAAGTGACGACGCCAAGTATCTGAACGGAGTCAACTTACCGGTCGATGGAGGCTATAGTCTCAACAATCAAACATGGAAAACTGGACTCAAAGACCGTTTACCTGAATAATCGTTAACACTTATATTCTACACTCTTACTAGTAAATTGCGGTTTAGGATTTATATATTTGTATGGTTAACTTGGTGGATGCATTTATCCATGTAAGCTATGTTTACTCTGTTTCCCCCCCCCCATTTTTTTGTGGATGCAAAAACTCTTATAACTTGCTTAATACATGCAATACAATCATGTTATAATGTGATTTAACTCCCATCATATTTGTTATACCTTCAAAAAGACCCTTCACAAACTATCAATAAAGACTCTCGAAAGATTCAATCCTCTGAACGAAACCTCCAGAAGTTTTTCAAACACGCCATATCATTTTCAGAATCATCCTCCATCAAGATCACTCTCCAGAGTTTATACCTCCATGTCTTTAATGTGACCTTGACAGAGTTAAATCTCATAGTTGACAAACATATCTACATAGTCTACCAACCTATTAACAAGCACGATACTCTAAATTTGACACCAATTATCCTATAGCCAAGATATAAAAATCACTGATATAAAATTTCATAAATACATATATGATTTTAGATTCAATGTGTAGACACTCGTTTTTGTCCGGATTATAAATATTATATTAAAATTATATTATTATTATTACAACTGTTATATTATAATACATTATTATTATTATTATATTATTAATGTTACATATTATATTTTACAGGTCCAAAACCCAGTTACAAATATCAACCCAATTACAAGATGGTTCAAGCCCAAGACGCAGATTCAGATCCGGTTACAAGATCTGACCCGCCAACCACCAGAAATGTGTGTACTTCACTACTGCTCCCATCTGCGTGAATGAGGCCGCCAATCATGCCACCATTGAATCCAGCAATCACATGCCAAAGTCAAAAACAGATTCCACCTACCCAAACCAAATCCATCAGCGCAGTGGGACAACATATTATTAAAAAAAGGCAATTAAGGGTGGAATTATTTTTACTGATGGGATTTCGAGCAATAAATAGAAGGTGAAAACAGAGGAAAAAACCATTAGGAACGAAAAAGAGAGGAGGTCAAACACCAAAGGAAAACGAAAACAAGAAAACATCAAGAGGAAGGAAGAATACTCACCAACATGAATGAGAGGTGACCGTTCGAACAGGAGGTATTCTCGGTTTGCAACAGCAAATTTCCAGCAACAATTGTAAGGGGATAGAGGGTTTTGCTAGGCTATTCGAAACTAAAAAAACAGTGTAATCTCATAGTAAAAAAAATAATGTATCTACAGATTTTCGTTTCAAGGTATTTTCCATCGATCTCTTGTTATATATATATATATATTATTTATATTATTTGTTTGTGTGTGTGCTATTATTGTTTAAAAACAAAATAGAGAGGGAAATAAGTATAGTATTACCTTAGCCATGGATTTTGCCGAGAAGTAGGGGAATTTTCTTTGAGGATTTGAGTTTGATTTAGGGGGTTTTTAGTCTCATCGATCGTCATAGGCAGTGTTTGGAGATCAGAATAGGGCTGGGTCTTGGTGGTTTCGTTCAGTTTTGGGTCTAAAAAAAGAGACTGGATGAGAGAGTGGCGCCGCATGGAGAGGGAGAAGAGTTGAAAAAAATAGCATACTTGTGTGTTTTAGTTTTGGTTAAAATCCATTAGGTTTAGGTTATATATTAAAGTTTTTGGTTATATTAATTTTTAGCCACCTATTTAGAAAAGTAAAATTAAGTTTTAGTCCTCTGCTTGTTGATTGTTTTGTCCCGATTTGATTTTTTTTATTTGATTCAAATGCATTAGTTTACCTTTGTGTACATATCCATCTCTATTGTGTTCCTTTTGCTGTTAATAATTCATTCGAACTTAGAAAGTGGTTGGGTTATGGCTTATCCTTTTCCTTTGATGTTTGTGGGTAATTTACTATGCTTATAAAATGAAAATAAATTTATATATTCATTTTTTAATGAGATATGTCATGTATGCTTTCAACAACCCTTTAGTAAAGTATTTAATTTTGGCATGTCTGCCATCATAATGTTTCCCATGTCTTTTCTTTCATGATTAACGTAATATATATGTATATATTAATATTTTTTTTTGTTTTAATAATTGGTTAAAGCTTAGTATACGTACATATTAATTTTTTTTTTGTTTGTTTGCATATAAGTTTAGTCATATATCTATTCGATATGTATGTTATCCTCATATTGCAACTTGACTTAATTACATAATTTGATTATGGAAAATATCATTTTAATTTAAAATTGTTGGAATGACTTTTCTTAACTCACTAGATAGCTTATTCTCGACGATTTTAAATTAAAAGCGTATCCTGTTATTGACACTTTAAAAAATGGTTCGCTACCTTAAAATTTGGGAACGAAAAAAGGAATATTCGACTATTTAAATTTCTCGAGAAAATATCGTTAGAATTCACCTAAAGATCTGGTCTCGATATCTTTAAATAATCGAATATTCTTTATCTTTCTAATGACTTGGTAATTCTAATTAAATATATTTTGTTATTTTTTAATGTTATAAAATTTCTATTTTTGTTTTTTTAAGGGATCATAAATCAAATAAAATTCAAACTTATGAAATTCGTTGCAAAGACATTAATTAATCGAATAGGTATCGATTTAGGGCGCTGTGGGGGTGCTAATCCTTCTCCACGCGTAACCGACTCTCGAACCCGGATTTTGGTAACGTAGACCGCAAATTTGTCGTTTTAATTGAAATTAAATTTTTTTATAAAATGACAACATTTTTGGGTGTCCAATCACACCCTAATCAAATATTTGTGGCGACTTCTCGAACTGTATATTTTTTATCGTAAAGGAATTTTTAAATTTTTGAAACGAGAGGTTTTCTAAAATCGCATTATTTTTAATTAAAAATCAACCATTAAGAGAAAAATTAAAAAATGACGTGTTTTTCAAAATCGAAATCTTACTTCTTTAAGAAAAAAATCTTTTCGACACAATGGTTGAACATGCTTGAGTGATGGCTTAGTAAACTCAAATACAATTTGAAATAGATTAAAGATTAAAGTGAGACTAATTACAAAACTTGAAAGAAGGAACTTTGCAATATGGTTATAAAATGAAATTAAATATGAATATAAAAATAATGAATTAGTTAATCGAATGGTTTGAATGATTGTTATGCTCTGAATTTTGTAAATTTTAATCTGATTTACGATTGAGCAGGATAAAAGATATTACAAAAATTCTGATAATTATCTACACATAGTCTGATCATGACCAACTACAATATCTCAAACAAGTGCTAAAAATCCTATGTCATATTAATTATATCCGTAATAAAACTAAAGTAATCTCAGCTCATTTTAATGAATATTCAAAAGTCATCGTTTAGAACATTCAAAACATCATTTAACACTTTCTCAGTTCAAACTTTGTCGTATCGTAGGAGTCGAATCACATACATGGTTAATACAAAGATTAGCTTAGAAGCTCATTACGCATTCATATATAAATATAGCATGTCATAAGTGATAGCAATTTGTAATAACCCTACAACTACACAACATATATCAAACTAACACAATTACGGCTACTCTCACATAATTCGTTTTTAAAACAACTTTGGGTCATGTACCTCAACCTTCTACTTTCTCCTTCGCTTTCGAACCGGAAGCCCAACCTTGACCTTGAAATTTACACATTCAAGCACTAATTTACCATAATAACTCATCAAATTCAATGATAGAGCCAACACGTGTTGGTACAAGTGGTTAGAATTCAAGAATTTGAGTTTGTAAGGTGAAGCTTGAATCCTACTACCGTCACTCTTGATGGGCAATCTATAAATTCCTATATAAATCTCAATTGATCTTAGGTTTACCCTGACCTTAGGGGAACTACCCTTAATCTAAACTTTTCGTGACAAAAAAAAAATCAATGATAGAAAACACAAGATTGATGCTAAGATGATGAAAATGGTTTCCAAAACTCTTGCCTTGCTCATAAGCCAATCGACCACTAATTCAACAAACCTTACACAATCAAAACTAATCTTATGGGTTCACCAAATTTGAAATCGATTCAAAGAGCTTTCTAACAATTTTAACTGAATTAATTTACTTTCCTTTCACTCTAGACATTCCACTATGGTGGAGTAAAGATGAATATTCCATTATTATCAATTTGGTCCAATTACAAATTAAGGACCCCTACTTCCAATTATTTTCCTTGGTCACACAATAATGCCACTCAAGCCATTCATTTTCCAATTCAGTTCTTGGAAAATATTAAAGAGATTATTATTTTTATATAGTTATTAAATTAATAGTTAATGATAAAATATAATATAAATTAAAGGATAGATCAAACTTTTTAAATGAAATATAATGTAAAGATTTAATTTTTATAAAAATAAAATATTTATATCCAAATAAGTATTAAAATTATATTTTTTTCATCTAAATATTTAGAATAGTTTTTTTTGTCAAAATAAGTAGTTAAAGTTATCATTTTGATCAAATTGGTTTGGAAGGGTCACTCTGGCCTCAACAGTACCCGATATGGATTAGTCGATCAATAGATCAGATACCAGTGATTAATTCAAAAACATTTTTTTATCAAAATAAATACTTAAAATATTTAATCCTTTTCATCTATGTTCTAAAAAAAATTGACACGTAAGATTAATTAAAGAATATTTTAAGTACTTAAATAAAAATAATAATATATTTTAAATACTTGTTTTAATCAAAAAAAGCATTTTAGATATTTATTATGAATAAAATAGTAACTTTAAATATTTATTTTAAAACATTTTAATCAAGAAAATACTTTAAATACTTGAATAAATAATAATAATATACTTGAAATACTTATTTGTGATACAAGACAAACAAAATACACATTTGAAACTTGCCTGTTTTGATCGCAAATAGAGTAGCGATACAAGACTCTCAATCCTTATTTGTGATACACATTTACAACAACATACTTGTTTGTGATACAAGACAAACAAAATACACATGTGAACAAGACTCTCAATCCTTTCTGAATAAACCTTGTTGTCTTAACTACTACTCTTGTTCTCATGTTCTGCAGTAAGGAAAATAAACTTGTCCAAAACTCTAAACCAATAATAGAGGATTGCCTGGGTGTGAATTCCACTTGTACCCGCATTAAATCATTATTATAATCCAATCAATTTTCAATGGTAATCAACCAAAATTAAATCAAATGACAATTAAAGATTTTGATTCTTCGGTATGTAGACGGCATTGTTTTGATCAATCATCCCTCATTCTCAGGTGAATCTAGAACCTGAAAAATATGGTAAACAACGAATGTGAGCTCAATTAAACTCGGTGAATGCACTACAAAATCAACAACATCGAATAGATTACTCAAGTATTTTCAACATGTATGCATGTACAACTCGCTTCAAAACCTCATATAACTTTGCTTATAAATCATGTACCTGTTCGAAACCATTTATTGCCTTTTCAAGGCCAGAAAACATGGACATTAGGCTGAACAACAATGGCTAAATAAATTTAAATTGTTATCATATTCAAGCATTATATAATATGTTTGTATTGATTCATAATCACACTGAAGACACTAAATTTTTATCCCGTTTTATTATTTTTTTATTATTATAATTATTATTATTATTTATTAATATTATTATATTTACAGGCCAAAAATAAAAAACAACCCAACCCAATTACAAATCCCAAAGGCCCAACAGCAGGAAACCCTAAACCCAACAAGGGTTTCATCACCTCAACAGCCAGCCGCCTCAATCTCAACCGTTGGATCTGGTAAGATCCAACGATCCAGAAGCCTCCAGAGGAAACCCTACGTCGCCGCTTACCTTGCTGCTGCCACCCCGCCGCCTCAGGAAGCTGCTACCATCGCTTCAACAGAACGCTCCAGAAGATCCAGCTGCCCCTCCACGCTACAACTCTATGGTGAGTCACCACCATAGTCTGGTGACTCACCAAAGAGCCCCTTTTGGACTGGTTCGAGGCCATCACCATGGTGGCTATAAAGCCACCAAACCTGCAAAAGAGAAAGAGAGGAGAGCACCCGAGAGATACCGAACAGACAACAACAACAGAGAACAAAAAAAAATAACCCACAACAGAAACATAAACTAAAAGAAGAGAAGCACTTACCAAGAGGAGCACGGCCATCAGAACCTCCATGCACAGCCAAAAATAACTGAAATACCGAGAGTATTTCTGTAGATCTAGGTAATTACAAAGCTTTTTAGAGAAAAAGGACATCAGATTCGTCTTTAGGACGTTCTGAACTTTATTTTGGGGGATTTTGAAATTTTCCGGCCACAAATCCCTTTTTATTATTGAAAAGAACGAATTTTTGGTTAAAACGCAGACCAGTTTATCTTTTAACTGATGTTTTCTTAAAAACTATTTTAAAAGATCATTTTAGGTATTCGACCTACCTGACTCAAAAGGCCGATGACGACTCCCAAAACATTTTTTAAATCAAAATCATTTATTTATTCATTTTAGTTTTCCCGCCAAATAAAAATTTTGTGCCCGGGCGAAAACCGATTACGACACACACTGGTCCTTATAGATTTACATCATATATATTCATGCATCATAGATACCAAAA